ACCCTTAATTATCGTTATACATAATTTTCGTGTTGACTGATTTACCCTCAATTATCTTTCTTTGTTCTTTCTATAACCCTTATCTCTGTGATAATGGGCAATGTGCTATAAACTTTTTTTTTCTTCCTACTCGTCTGCTTAAAAGAGCGTACTTTTGTTTTGTTCACATGCATGTGTGATATGTATAATCTCATTCCGATACACATAGTAAAATATATTTTCTTGATTTATAATTAAACAACTTTAAGTAATGTGTATGAAGGATTAACAAAATTGGATATAAAACAAGAATGTATGTTTTTATATTTGACACCATTTTCCTCTTCTTCTTTTTTCATCGTTAAAGAAAGAGAGATCTGATTTAATAATCTAAAATATTTATGTAATTTGAACCATGTTTTCATATTTTTGAAAATTAGTTGTTTATTTAAGTAATGAAATAATAATCTTTTAAAATAAAATCTGAGAACAAAGTACATTGGATAAACCGTCAATCATTGCTAAGTTCAAATGGTCTCCAAATTAGGTACTGGCCATATTGTTCTTGTCGTTGCTTCAAATACCTGCAAAAAATTGAAATCCAATCGAATCTGAAAAACCAATTTTTATTCTAACCTAATTAGTAGGATATTGATGTACCTTAAGTTGAAGTAATATAGAACTTTATCCATCAATAAGCATTCCATCAGTTGCTTGTAGAAAAATATCTAAATCATTTATCAGAATCATAAGTGACTGAGACATGTCATAATTACGCTTGAATTCCACCATAACATTAACTGTTTTATTGGTTGAGTTTTCAGATTTTTTACATCCTTCATCATTTTTGTGACTTAATGTTGCAACAGCCTCTCTGAACATGTAAATAATACAAGACCACTCAAAATTCTAAACCATAAAAGTAAATTCTTCAAATTTGAAATAAACTCATAGATAAACAACCCATGCATGGTCAGTTTTCTTTTTAGGTTAACAAACTCTATAAATCAAATCAAATGTAGTCGGTATAGTGATTGCCATAGATAGCAGGCCATTGTGGATATGTATGATTTACATGAGAAAAAAGATAACCATGTACTCATGCTCTTTTTGCAAGAATATCGGTACAAACATTTTCACTCTGAAGGATAA